TGTGTGTGTGTGTGTGTGTGTGTGTGTGTGTGTGTGTGTGTGTGTGTGTTTCTAATCAGAGCTTTTAAACCCAATTTCTAAAAGGCCCTGTATTAGTCAGCACATGCATGGAATCTCTAATTTGAAATTTTCAAGGCAGGTTATTGAACAAAGCTGGTATTTTCATGATGCATTGTAGCTTCACCTTATCACAGTGTAAAGGGTAGTCAGATTGTCCTAAATTATGTCCAACTAGCCCCCCTGGATCCACGGATTAAGAGATTAAAGGAGACCACTGGGCAATGGCTCCTCTTTCCCCTTCATATTCCTGGTATGATAATTGCCTAAACTGATTTGCACTTCCACAAAAAAGTCTTTGTAGCTGGAACACAGCAGACCAAGGTTTGTGCTGTCAATGGCAAGAAAACTGATTAATGCAGCCTATCAGACTAAAGAGCAAATGAACCATGAATTAAATTTAAAAAAAAAACTGGAGTATCCCAGAAAGCCAAATAGTTTCCTCCAGGATTATAAGAAACTTTTTGCCCTTCCCTATTAATGCTGGCTTCCCTCTCTTCCCTTAGAAAAATTCTTATTGGCATCCCACCCTTTCTTTAGAAGAAGAAAAATCTCCTTTAGAAGAGGTACACAATAATGCCAAAATAAAAAGAAAATATACCACAACTGAAAGGAAACTGATATGACTGTATTTTTGAGGCTGCAGCTTGAATCCTCTGTCCCAAAGTAACAAGTAAAGCATAATTATTATATCACTGCATGCAATTGATGCATTGATCCTTAAGGCAATCTGATGAAATGGTCTTACACAGATACGTTTTGAAGACAGTCCATGGAGTTCAATGAAACTGCTAGGTAAATTGTAATTCGAGTTGCAGCCTTACTTGGAAGTAAATTAGGCAAGCACCAAAAGGGCTTTACTTCCAAGTCTCTCTTAAAATGAAGCTTTGCAAGAACAGAAAGAAAAGGAGGGAAGGATTTAATTACACTGGGCCTTTTCAAACCGTTTTCATGATTGGATAGATTTATGGGGTCAGATGGAACTTAAATCCAAATTAAGGCTCAGTAATGCACAGATTGCAGTGGGCCAATCAGCAGCCCAATTATGTTACTTCCATATATACCAGTATGAAAATGTCGACAGCCCCAAAATCCTAAATCGTTGTAATAATGTACTTCTGAGATACTTTTTAATGGACACACTCTTTATCTCCAGCATTGCACACATTCCAAGCTATACTTCCAAGAGTTCAGGTTTGTACACTCTGGCAAACCTGTTTTCTAGGTGGACTTGAATAATACATACATAGACAAATTGCTTCCAAATGAACAGTGCACTGTTCAAAACAGAAACCCATTCCTTTATTCAGAAAAAAAAACATCTTATTGTCAATGTGATTTGATATAAATATTTTTATCCCCTGTTACTAACAAAGTTACTTCAGGATAGCTGATTCTAATCAGCAGTGATCATAAAATATAAAGGCTATTAAGCACCAGAAAGGAATGGGGGCATGGAAAGGAGAAGTTTTTTTTAAAATAATGCTTAAAGTTGTTAAACTGTATTGATAAATCTTTATTGACAAAATATTGACATTGAGATACTTCTTGGAAGTATATAGTGTGTTAGAATTCTAACAAATTAAACACACAACACAAAAATATTTACATTCTGGTAAATAAGACAATAAGGAAACATTTGTCATTTTAATCAGCCTTTCCCAGCCTGGTGCACTTCAAGTGTCAATTCAGTTCCCAGAATTCCAAACGCCATGTTGGCTGGGAATTCTGGGAATTGAAAGCCACCACTTTAAAAGGCACAGTGTTTGGAGAGGTTCATTTGAATAGCTGTATAATCTTGGAACAATTGACAAGTTATTTATTTCAGTGCTTGAAATCCCTCCCCTGGAAAATGGGTCAGGGTTGAAATGCCTCTTCTACACTGGTGCCTTCCAGCTATGTTAGACTTCTATTCCCACTTCCCCAGATGCTGGGCATTATGGGAATTGCAGTCTTCCTCATTTGGAAGGCCCAGAAAGGCCGAAATGTCTTCAGATCCCTCCAGATAAACAGATAAATCCTGTTTTAGCACAGCCCATTAATGGAAAGGAAAAAAAAAATAACTGGAATTTTAGAACGAGGATTATTTTCTTTAAATTTCTTTCTGTCTTGCAGCAAAATTACAAAGGTTCCTTTCCCTTCCGCCTTTCACGGCCTTTGTTCATTTTTTTCAGAGGGTATCCCATTTGGGGAAAAGCAAAACGTATTGGGGAGGGAGTAGAATTTGTTACCGCTACTTAATTTAGTTTTCACAACCACATTGACACCAGAAGTTATCATAAAAAAGATTTACAAACTGCACAGCTTCTCATAAAATAAACTTTAAAAGCACACTGAACCCGTCTGGGGAGGAGTGAGGGTCAGGGGAGGAGTACCCTTCATACCTGCACCTGGTTTTAAGCATTTTTTCCCCCTTTTAAAGCGCTGCACCCTCCTTCCTCCCCTTCCCAAAAGGTCTTTTAACCAACCAAACCAACCAACCAAAAAAAGAAAAAGAAAAGCATGCAGTTCAAGTTTCTGGAACAGGTGTGTGTCGATTTTGGCTAGGTGGGATTTTCTCTCCCTCCGACTGGGAGGAAATCAGAAGTATGGTTAAGAAGAATCAATTCCCCCCGGGAAGTGCAAAGTGTCCCTACTCCGCCACCTCAGCTGTTGGGAGTGTATCATTTCTTTCCCTTTGAAATTTGAAGTGATTTCATTCTGAATGGCAAGAAAACTGATTATTGGCCAATTGTCTCCTCTCGGGTGATTTGACTTTGATTGACAGTCTCTCCCTTTCCCCCCCACCCTCGGGTCTCTCTCTCCCTCCCTCCCTTCTCTCTTTCTTTCTTTTTTTGAACCGGTACAGGACCAGCACGATCAATGCTTGGACTGACTCTCGCCCCTGACTCTGTCTAAGCCAGATGGGGGCCGTGCGAACAAGCCAGAATCTGTCTCTCTCTCTCTTGCCCGGCTACGACACTCACTTTCCTGGGCTTGTCCCGTGTGAGGTGTTCCTGGAAAAGTCTGTTAAGCGCCAGCATCGAGTTTCTCTTTCTTTCTCTCTCTCTCTCTCTCTCTCTCTTTCTCTCTTTTTGCTGCTGCTTTTTCTACTTGTTTACAGGGGTGCTTTAATCTTCGGACGTGACATCGATCTCCTCTGGGCTGGCCTGCTTGGTGGCGATCCTCCACCGGTTAATATGATGAGTTCCTTTCTTCTTCTGTTGGGAGTCCGAGCCTTCTTCTTCCAACTTCTGCCGCTTGAACTTTGTCCTTCGATTCTGAAACCAAACTTTTACCTGGGGGAGCACAAGAAGAGAGGTGGAGAAAACAGAGGCGGCTATTAAGCTCGGGCAGCGACTCCCTGCTAGTTAGACTAATTCACCATCATTAGAAAAATGTGTGTGTGTATTAAAGGATCCTTTTCTACCCCTTGAAATGCTGCAACTCTGAACCCAGGCACTTCTTCCCAGATTGGAAAATATGGGACTGCCCCCCCTGGGCTTAAGGAGAACCAGGAAACAGTGAGTAACTGCAAAAAGAAACTTCTCACTCCGGCAATGTCCATAATCCTCAAAGCCTTCTTTTCCCTCCCCACCTTACAGATGCTGAGAGTTTGGTTTTAATTCCAGAACCGACCGTCATCCACAATCCGTCCAACCAAAGGCCACTGGTGGTCACTTCGCACTCTCCCTTCCCACCACCATAAATGTACGAGTGAGTGCTCACTGGCTCTTTGGCTCCTTGCTACAATTAAGCCTTCCGCAGCAGCCCCAGAGAAGTGCCAGAAATCCCTAGAGCCACCTCCTGTCTACCTTTGATAGCAGGAGCCAGGATCGCAGACGGGCCCTCGCCCACACACACCCCGCCCGCAGCACACACGCACAGGGGTATTTCCGGCCTAATAACTTACACTACAGTTGCACACCTAAATCAAGCTGTTACACTGAATTCTGCTTTGGAGCTTACAATTATTCAGAAGTTAACTCAAAGATGGGTTAATTAAGAGCAGCGATCCAGTGGGGCAGGCCGGAATTGGAGGTTTAGTAAAGGTTAAGATGAAATCCCTCAAAACACCAGCCTTTTCCCTGCAAAAAACGGTACCCAACCATTCCTGTGTATTTATAGAAAAATTCCTCCATTGAGTTTGATGGGACTTCTTTTAAAGTAAGCACCAAAACCCATGAAAAGCCATGTTCTTTCCCTTCTACTTGCTCTACTCAGAGCTTCACCTGGTTTTGGAGCCTGACAATATGGCATTTCATGCGGAATCGGTGCTTTAAGATCCTATGCACGCTTACTGGGAAATAAATGCCATAGAAATTAATGGACTTCCCGTGGCTTGGGAAGACAATGCCAGGATCAAAGGCAATCTCATTGACTTCACAGGAACACTGACCTCCTGCCTCCCTGGAACTCAGTTAAGCCACAGTAATTGGGCTTTAAGATTAATCTCCCACTTTAGGCACAGTCCTTGGAAATATGCCCCCATTGATGTCAATTTAGGACTGCCGCTTTTCACCCTTGACTGGAATTCATTTTTTAAAGGTAGATTCCATCAGGAAATCAATGGGGCTCCTCTCCCAAGAAAATCATTGGGGATCACGATGCCAAGTGTTCAACCCTCTTTACAACACCACCACCGGAGCTTCTGATGGCATTCAAGCTCCAAATGCTTGTTTGGAATTAGGGGCCACTTCGATCACAAAACGTTTGTTAAATTCTTGTTAACAAAGCATAATAATTCTATTAACATAACCTGTTAAGCCAAATTATCCCATGACTTAACCCTAAGGAGCTGGTGGTTCGCACAGCAAATTAAAAACTAATGTGATTCGGTTTGCTTGGCCTTGTGTGAACAGAGTCTCTGTGCTATAGTAGAGTGACTTCCTATTTACTCCAGAATAGCTCTATTGTGGTCTGGTGGAGAGGGGGATACCTCCTGTGGGCTCCACCTTCTCATATCTCAATGGATCATTGTCAGATGTCTTGTGCCCATTTGCCTGAATCCAACTCTGATGATTTGATTTTAAACAGGTTTACTCTGCCTTGCCACACATTTTTGTTTAACTCCCCAAGAAGAGTTGGATCTATGTACATTCATTCACCTGCACCTGTTTGCATTGCTCCATATGTTTATCTGCATCAATCCATGATACATACCTATCCAACGTATGCCACATAAGATATATATACACACACACGCACGATGTGTGTATTTTTAAAAACCTGACAGAGGTTTTTACTGAACAGTGGCAGTCACATCTATATATTGTGGGTAACACACCTAATAGAGTGAAGGTGTTTCTTGCAGGAAAGGGAATATTTACCCATCCAGTCTGACTTCAGGTGTGTTTATGTATGTTATCACACCTGTGTCCAATTCCTGAGTGCCCACAACATCTATCCACGGTGCACATTACAGGACATTTTACATAAAGAAACGATGGAGACAGCGCTTAGGAATTCCAGAGTTCAAGTTCTTACTATTAATCACCACAGCTTAAACACAATAACAACTAAGCCAGACCTTTTTTTGTTTGTTTGTTCGTTTTAAAAAAATACTCCTCCACCCACTTTCTGCCATCCTTCTTAGTTTGATCTCTCCGCTGAAAAGCGGCTCTTACTGTCGGACCTTAGAAAGCGATTAACAGACAGGCCTTACCAACATTTAGCCCAAAACTCAGCTAGGGTCCAGGTTAATTTAGGGGGTGGGGGGGAGAAATCCCTTTAAAGATGGAGGAGGGGATTATTCTACCATAATTAAAAATAATCAAAGGGGGAGGGAGGGAGGGAGAGCGGTGAGCGAGCTCAGTTAATTAAGGAGGAGGTTCGAATTCTGCCAACATCAAATAGGGGCTTCTTTTGTACCAAGCGCTTCTGTCTTATCAAAGGAGGAAAGGGGCTTCAGGACTCCTAGAAACCCGGGGGAACCGCGGTTCGAGTTAAAAACGGGCAAGTCCTTCAAGATCTCAGGAAAACAAGGGGTGGGGGGAGAAGTCCCCGTGAGTTTGCGAGGGGGTGCCGGAAATCCGAATCCAAACCCGACCCGCTGAGGCCGCGAGTCGTTTACTAACAGGTCGCCTCAGTCCCGAAATTACCTTCAGGGCGCTTGGGACGGAGCCTCCCCGGCGCCGGCGGCGGCCAAAGGTAAAACGCGGGTTTTTAAAGTGAAGGCATAGGAAAAGGAGCGCTTTCTCTCTTTTTCTTTTCCCGTTTTCCCGGATTCCGCCTGGAAATGCCCGATAAAGGCTTTTGACGGCAGGCGGGGCCAGGGAAAAATCCCGAGAACGGGACCGTTTTAATCATCAGTCCCTTTAACCCGCTTCGCTGCCCTTTCTGAAGCCCTTCGCTGCCAGGCGCCTCCTTTCCCTCCCATCCCGGCTGCATTTTCCTGTTCTCTCCCGAAGGCCCTTCTTTATATAGTGGTTGAGCGGGGAACAAGGGGTGAGTTTAATGTGCTTTTCAGCCTGCTAATTGAAGGGGACGGCGGTTCATTTCTCCACGCCGATCTCCAAAGGGGAGCTCATTTTGTCGGGGGCTGGGGGCCTGACACCGCCACAATAGACCCCGACCAGCTTCGGAATCAAGCGGGACAAAGACCACCTTAAACGCCGCTTTGCCCGTGCAAAATCAGCTTGTCAGTAGCCCCTTGTTCGGCGGAACCTCATCAAAGCGTCGATCCCGTTGACTGGGGTTTTGTGAAGGGAGGCGCGTTTAAAACAAAAGATTCAACCTCGTCCGTGCTCTCCGCTGCTCCGCTCCGCCCCGAGAAAGGCAAGGGGGGGGGGGGGAGAGACAGGAGGGAGGAGGAAAAAGTGTTACAACTTAATCCGACCCAAGAACGTTACTGTTTACTGGGAACTTTGAACTAAGCTGGGTCTATTTTCCCCTTCTTCTTCCTTCCCCTCCTGCTTCTCTCCTCTCCTTTAAATGCGAGAATCCCGTCGCGGCGGAAGCCTCTTTCTTTCGAAAGGGCTTGGAGGGGAGAACGCCGCTCCCAAACTTAAAGGAAGGCGCAGTAAGCAAGCCGAACTACCGTCGAGAACTCAGGCAAAAAAAAAAAAAAAACCGCCCCCAAAACCAAAACCTCCCCGGAACGCTCACCTTAAACCAACCCATCTGGTTAGGAAGATGCAGGCGCCCAGAAGGCACCTGAGCAAGCTAAAATACAGCCTGGGGGATTAAATTTGATCTGCTTTCCCCTCTTCCCCCCCTCCCGCCCCCTCGCCCCACTTCCAAGGTTAATACAATAGTTCATTATCCCTAAGCACACTTTTCCAAGCGTCTCTTACGGCCTCATCTGGGCAAGTGTCAAACAACGCCATTGCTTTGCCCGGCACACCAGCTTTTTGATGTGTCTATTTCCCAGGTCTCTCCCTCTCACACACTCATATACACACACAGAGAGAGACAGAGAGAGAGATACACAGGTACCCAAAAGCCCACTGATAACTCCTTTGGATCAAAGAACATTCGTGCTTTTCAATGGCAGAACTTCCAACGAGCCCAGAATTCAAGTGGGGGGGTGGGAGAGAGGCCAAGCTTCGACCCCACAAGGCCGTGGAAGACTAGTTTTAAGAAGATTCCGGCTTTACCGCAGAAGGGACTGGCTTTTATTTTAAAATTTAAACCAAGTGGAAATCCTCCATGGGATTTAAAATCCAGGCCACTAAATCCAACAACTAAATCCTCTAACCTTTTGCTGGAAACAAGATAACAAGATTGGGGGCTCCTGAGCAGAAGTGCTCAGAAGCCGCCCATTGTTCAAATCCAGTTATTTTAGTCTCGTTGGATATTGAAGCAAGGCGCAGGTAAATTAAAAACAAGAAATGGCTATTTCCAATTTCAAAAACAAACTTAGAAGGGGAAAATATAAGAGTTCCCCCCTCCCTCCTTTTGTGGACACGTGACCTAGAGTTTAAAATGCATTGTTAAATGTGCAGATTTTAATTAAAACAGAAACAATCCCAAAACAAGTCCACACCCTGACTAGGAACACAATAACCCATCAAAAGAGCACACCCTTTGTACTTCAACGGTCACAACTGACAAGGGATAACTGGAGAGGGAGGTCCTCATAAAGGTCCAGGCCATACTTTTAAAAAAATCCTCAAAAGATAAAGAAGCCCTAAAACACCCAACTCCAGTTTTATTCCTCCACCTTGAAATTTGGCCCCGAATTATCCTCACTGCGTGAGCCAAAACCTTATTAAGCCTTGATCAAGGCGTAATCCTAGGCTGGTCTACTTAGAAGTCAGACCCACTGAATCAAATGGGCCCAGCTCTTCCAAGCTAGGCCTCTTGGATTGCACTGGGGAAGGTGGAGAATTCCTTATACTGCCATTCAAAGATCTTGTTTTACTTGGACCTCAAGGAAACAGTTTTCTCTGTTACTTTACTTAAAGAGGGGCATGTTTGAGAAAATAAGCACAAAGGGGATCTTTCTTTCTTTCAAGAAGGTGAACAGAAGGAAATATTTTCGGCTCCTTCCCCACCCCCCAAAAAAATCAGCATGGCCCTTACATCTCATGCACTGTACACTGGAAACCGTTCGCCCGCTCCCTTCTTTCTTCCTACCTGAGTTTCCGTGAGGCTGAGGCTGTGGGCCAGTTGCTTTCTTTCCGCCCCGACCACGTAGTGGTTTTTTTCAAAAGCGTGTTCCAACCTCAGTAACTGGGATGGAGAAAAAGCGGTGCGGATCCGTTTCGGTTTCCGGGCCAGTGCGTTGTGCAAGAGGAAACTCTCCGGGCTGGTTTCATTACCTGGATAACCAGAAGAAGAAGAAAAACATGAAGGCACCAAAAAGAAAAAGAAAGAAAAAAAAATCAGGAACCAACCAAGCCCAGTTAAATACTGCGTTGTGCTTCTCTTTCTCCGGATGGCAAATAAAACTCGGTTCCTTCTTTATTTTGGTTTGTTACTTCCAATTCTCCCTCAAAGGCGGGCTGGAATTAACTGCCCCCTCTTTTCTAGTACTTACCTCCAGAAAGGAAACCAGAGAGGGAGATGAAGCTGAGGGTATATTAATTGGCCATTTGATATTCTTTTGTAGTAGGTAAGTTCGCTTTGAAAGCATCTAATTAGAATTAAGGGGAGTGGGCACTAACAAAACAAAGTTATTTCTTCTGTGGGTCACCCTTCTCCACGTTCTTTCTCCGGGAAAGGTGCAAAACAGAATCTTTCAGGAGATCCAATTTTCTGAATAGATCCCCCACCCGGATCCACTCTAAACTCCCACTTTATTCTCTCGGCGTCACGAACCACAGCGCTCTTCCTTCCTTCCTTCCTCCTCCTCCTCCTCCTCTCCTTGCTAAGCACTTTTGTTTATTTTGAAAACTCTCTTTGTCAGTTCCCTACTAAGATAAGCGGGTAGAGTTACTGCCCTTGCCACTATCCGTTTTCGGACCAGTACCGCCCTTGCCAAAGTTGGCCTTATGAAATCCAGAGTCCTCGCATGCCTCTCTCCTCTTCTACAGAATGCAAGCAAGCAAACGGCGCAGCGGGGATCGTACCTTAAAAATAAGTCGCACTGAATTCCTTGAGCCTTTGCCCTATCCTAAAACAAAAACGCGGCTGTTTTTTCTTTCCGTGACACGCACGCACGCACGCGCACGCATTCAGCGCTGCATTCCCCCATTGCAAAAAACACACAAAAAAACCCGTTTTTAGTAAAGGCTTGAAAAATCCCAATCGCCTGCCTATTTTGTTCTGTTGATTTCTCCGCCTTAGTATTTCGCTCCTTTTTTTTTTTTCCCGGCGAGGCCGATGCCCGAGTCTGGAGAGCGCCACAACCCACAGCCAAGCCCTTCTTCCTTTCCGCTGGCGCTTTTCAACAACCCGAACACAACGGAGCACGGATTAGGGAGTGAGCGAAATCCTTAATTTTCCACCCAGAGTTTAGTCCCATAATAATCACCCGCTTGCTACCAGTTCTCTTCCTTCTGGGGGAATCGCTCCAACCCGAGAATAGCGCCAGTGTGGATTCGACCTTTCTTCTCCACACACCCCAAATAGGGTCTCCCATAGCGAATTTGGCGGATGGCCTTTATTTGTTTGTTTCTTTGTTGGGCGGGGGAGAAGGGAAGCTTTATAAAATAAGTGAAGTGCAAATGTATACTTTTCCAAGGCGTGAGTTACAACTACACCCAGAATATGTGTGTGTGTGTGTGTGTGTGTGTGTGTGTGTGTGAGAGAGAGAGAGAGAGAGAGAGA